TATGCTGTGCACCAGGAAGCCTTTGGGGTCACCTTCATAGTCTGCGTGTCCACTGTGCTAGCCAAGACCATTGAGGTGGTGGAAGTCTTCCACGCTACCAGGCCAGACACTCACATAAGAAAGTGGGCAGGGCCACTGCTGCCTAGCACCATTCCCGGTGTCTGGTCTACAATCTCGTGTAGACTCTGGGTGACCACATGGCCCCCACAGCCTGTGAACTCTACAAGCCTGGGCCCACAGTGACTGTCAAGTGTTGATGAGGGCTCTTTAGAACTATTCTTTGCCATGATGGGCTACTTGGGTCTGCTAGGGCTGGTCAGCTTGCTGGTGGCCTTCTCTGCTCGCCAGCTGCCTGACACCTTCAACCAAGCAAAGCATCTCACTCTCAGCATGATGGTCTGCTCCTGTGCTGGGGATCCTTCGTACCTGCCACACGAGCACCCAAGGCAAAGACACTGTGGCCATAGAGGTCTCTGCATCAGGAGCAGGCCTCATGTCTGCCTCTTCTTTCCCAAATGCTCCACCATCCTTCTCCACCCTGAAAGGAACACAAAAGGACAAATGTTCAGCAGGCATCGTCAGGTGAGAAAAGCAGGTGTGAGCTACAGGGGGAGCCTCCTTCTCAGGGACACCTTCCCTGAGCTCCCCCGACGGATGCTCCCTCCTCTAGCCCCTCCTTGTCACTAAGCTCCTTCTCTCTTGCATTGCATTCTGTTGGGGGAGATGGGATCTGTTTGCAAATACAGTTGTCCTGGATAGAAGCATCTGATCTGATTCATCCTCTGACCCCTCAGCACACAACCAGGGCCTGGTATACACGGGAGACAGAATACATGTTTGATGAATGGGATGGATCAACTTGGGCAAAGTAGGCAGGAGAAGGGATCTTCAAAAGGAGGCAGTAAGGTGGAGAGGTTGGTGGAGTAAAGGAAACTGTTCCTCTTAGCTCCTCTGTGTCATACATACAGGAACATGACCATGTTACTTAAGTTTTCTGTGCTTCAGTTTCCTCCAATATAAAATGAGATTAAGCCTTCCTCTCCAGATGTGCTGATGATGAAACAAGAAAATGTGTGACAGTGCTCAGCACAGAATGAACACTCAGAGCAGAATACTGAAGGTCACTCAACCCACTCTGTCCTTTTACAGTTAAGAAAACTGATGCCAAGAAAGGAGACGCCAACTACCCAGAGCATCACTGTCCGCAGGCTAAGCATCAAAAGGACAAGGTTCATGTCCTAACTCTACCACTTAGCTATGTGACTTTGGACAAGTTACTTAGCAACTCTATACTCCAGCTTCCTCATACAAAGGAGGATAATAGCACCAATTTCATGGAATTGTCAATGAAGAATAAATTAATTAATGTTCATAAAACACTTAGAATTGCACCTGACACACAGTAAACTAAATAAATATTTGTTTAATAATGCATTAAAATGTTACATAATGACAAAATCTGGATCTCTTGATTCTTTGCTGTATAAATGAAACTTCCAGGAGACCTTTATTCAAACTAGATCATAGGGAAGAACTTTCAGGGTCAAAGCCAGAACTTTGATAAACATGCATAAAAATCATCTGCTAATGATTTAGCATGGGAAATTAGAGTGCAAGAGATTAAGAAATTACCTAAAACCTTAAAAAATGAGACGGGGATCCCAGCACAGGTTCAGGGGAGAAAACCATTATGGAATCATGGAAGCGGGTCCAGATGGGCCTTAGTGAAGTACACCCGCATCAACACCTTCACTGAAGGCACCTGGCACTCTGCAGGCACCTGGTTTCAGAGTGCAGACCTGGGTGTCCTCACCAAGTCCCAAGCCAAAAGGCATGCTCCAATATGGTCAGCAGGTGTTTCCTATCTATCAATTAAGTCAATCTCCTAGTACCCATAATGGACCAAAAAAAAATCAGCAGCACTCTAGTGAATTCTCTCTTAGCAAGACTGCTTTATCCAGACTTATTACTTACATCCTCTGAATACCAATGAATTACAGTCTAGGTTGTGTTATTTTCCGTGACTGTCATTCAGCACATGAAGAGATATGCATGAAAGAAGGAATGATATTTTCATAAATTCCCAAGTTTTAAAATGTGTATTTTTGTTCACATGATTCCGTATGTTGTCTTCATTGCAGATTGATCTGTCATAAGTGGTGGCTTTAAAAACTTCGGTTGTCAATACCTTCACACATATGTGTCTCAGATTTTGGTAAGTATATCTCATTTTTATGGGAGTGATTGTTTCAACTTTATAATATAAATAATCACACTCACAAACATGGGTTTTTACTCAATTCATTTCTGGTGTCAGATTTTATTAAAGCAAGATTCATTCTTGCATGTATAGAATCTTTTCCAAGAGTATGCTTCAGAGTTCATAGCATTTGTCTCAAAAATACAGATTTATTTTTTCAAGAGCTCAAAATTGGAAGCCTTACTGATGCTTCCCTTGGCATTATTCTAGAGCATTATTCTCAAAATCCAGAAAACATTCCCAATGTTTGAATTTGAATTGTTTCTGATATCATACATAAGAACTATGTAACCCAGAGGTTCCCCTTTCTGTCCATCAACTAGAAACCTGAATATCCACTTCATCTTGCGTTTGTAACTACCCAGGTTAATTGCCTGAGAGTATATACTTCTATTTCATTCTGGTAAATTTTTATGTATGATTTTGAAAAGCTGTCATCTTCACACTGCTTTTGCATCTTGCAGGGATCCAAATGAATCTAAAGCTTTTTACTGATATAATATTCAATACATGAAATGCTTTCAAAAATACATGATTTATGGCCTGCCTTTGACCACAGAAAATGCAACAACTCAGATCCTGCTGTGTGAGCCTCTAATGCTGACAGTCACCATTGTGTAATCTTCTCCTTATTGGCCAACTAAGAAATACCATCCCAGAAAATCTGCCTTCCCTCTAAGCTTAACATTTTCCTCTTCCATAAACTATTGTTTCTGGAATCTGCATTTAAATGATAATTAGATGATGGTACCTCAAAAAGTTTGTAGAAAATGGGATGAAAAGATGAGTTTATTTTGATGCAAAAAAAATCTTGAAATCCATGCAAGCAAAGGGTTTTCAAAAAGTTTGTGGAAAATGCATTTTACAAAATTATTATGCATGGATTTCAAAACAGGTTTTGTACCAAAAAAAACATTTTCTATTCCATTTTTCCACAAAATTTTTTTTTTATTTTTTTTATTTTTTTTTTTTTTTTTTTTTTGACAGGCAGAGTGGACAGTGAGAGAGAGAGACAGAGAGAAAGGTCTTCCTTTGCCGTTGGTTCACCCTCCAATGGCCGCCGCAGCCGGCGCGCTGCGGCCGGCGCACCGCGCTGATCCGATGGCAGGAGCCAGGAGCCAGGTGCTTTTCCTGGTCTCCCATGGGGTGCAGGGCCCAAGCACCTGGGCCATCCTCCACTGCACTCCCTGGCCACAGCAGAGGGCTGGCGTGGAAGAGGGGCAACCGGGACAGAATCCGGCGCCCCAACCGGGACTAGAACCCGGTGTGCCAGCGCCGCTAGGCGGAGGATTAGCCTAGTGAGCCGCGGCGCCGGCCCACAAAATTTTTGAAGTATGCTTGTATAAGTCTTTAGGAGTGCAACTGTCAACATATAGAGAACTACTTGAATTGTAGATGTCTCTTTAGGCCTTATTTTGAGAGTATTGACATTGCCAGTACTTCTGTATTGACATTGCAATGAGTACTTTGTTAATCATTTTCCAGAACACCATCTGACATAGAGAGAAGATCAGGCTGTGGATGCAGAAAAGATTAAGTGTGTGGGTCACATGGAAAATCAGCTCTGACCCGGGGGATTTAGTTTGTAGTGGAAATTGTTGGTTGTTTTCTTCTTTGGCATAATAATTGAATGGTTGTGAGTCCTTGCCTTCCCAACTATGTACCATATTTACCACCCTTGCAGTTAGATATGACCCGTGACTCACTTCTCCCCAAGAGGTGAGTGGAAGTGATGATTGCTATATCTAATCAAGAAAACTTAAGATACACCATGGGTCTCCTCCATGCTGTATTCTCACCATTCCCTCCCAGTAAACTTAGAATTGACCATGTAAATAACAAGAAGACCCTACACAGGAGGTTGGCTAATTGTTTGTCATAGCTACTCAATTCTGCTACTGGAGCAAAAAGCAGCCATAGATAATACATATAGGTGTGAATGTGTTCTAATAAAACTTGATTTTTAGCCCCTGACATTGGAACTTCTGTGGCAGAACTTCTGTGTGCCATGAAACATTATTGTTCTTTTCCTTGTTGTCAACCATTTAAAAGTATAAAAACCATCTTAGTTCACAGGCCACTAAAAATCAACTACTGAGGGGCTGGCACCATGGATCACTTGGTTAATCCTCCTCCTGCGACACCGGCATCCCATGTGGGCACCAGGTTCTGGTCCCAGTTGTTCCTCTTCCAGTCCTGCTCTCTGCTGTGGCCCGGGAAGGCAGTGGAGGATGGCCCAGGTGCTTGGGCCCTGCACCCCATGGGAGACGGGGGGAGGGATGAGTGGGCTGACTCCTGGCTTTGGATCGGTGCAGCGCCACCCATGGTGGCCATTTGGGGAGTGAACCAGAGGAGGGAGGACCTTTCTTTCTGTCTCTCTCTCTCACTGTCTATAACTCTACCTATCAAAAAAAAAAAAAATCAACAACTGAGTCAGATTTAGCCTGCAAGGCTTACTTTGCCAATATCCGGAGGATGTTGACCTTACAAGATGGAAGGAACTTGGATCCTTGAATGCCTATTGAGCAGAGCCACCCATCAACCTGAACCACTTTATGGTCTCTTTCCAGAAAGACAAAATCTCCTTCATTCATTAAACTACAAAATAGTTAAGTATCCCTTGTTACAGCAGTTTACCACTTTAATTACTATGAAATTCATGACTCCTTTCTACCCAGGCCGTGGTCTCTCTCCACAATCCTCCAAAGTAAGGAAACTACATCCTCACCCACCCACCTCCTCACTGCCTCTTCCAAGACTTGAAGGAAAAGGCTCGGCCCAAGGCTCCCTTCACCTCCTTGTTCCGCAGACTGTAGATGAGTGGGTTGAGCATTGGTGTAACAATGGAGTAGAAGACAGACACCACCTTGTTGAAGTTGATGGAGGAGGCCACCTTGGTCCGGACGTACATGAAGAAAAGAGTACCATAGAAGAGGCTCACCACAGTCAAGTGAGCTGCGCATGTGGAGAAGGCCTTCCAGCGCTCAGCTGCTGAGCGAATGTGCAGCAGCGTCCACACAATGTTGCCATAAGACACAGCGATGACTGTGGAGGAGACCAGGAGCACAGTCAGAGACACCAGGAAATCCACAGTCTCTTTCAGGGTGACATCCGAGCAGGACAAGGCTAGCAGGGGTGAGGCATCACAGAAGAAGTGGTCAACAATATTGGGGCCACAAAATGTCAGTTGAGACATGAGATAGATAGGCAAAATGGGTGTGAGGAAGCCTACCAGCCAGCAAGCAACTGCCAGGCGGATACAGGTGCCCCAGGACACCAAGGCCCCATAGTGCAGAGGCATACAAATGGCCACATAGCGGTCATAGGCCATGGCAGCCAATAGGAAACACTCAGTTGCCCCAAGGAAGGTGAAAATGAAGAGTTGGGCCAGGCAGCCAGCAAAGGAGATATTCTTGCCCCCATCCACACCAATAAAACCCGCCAGCATCTTGGGCACCGTGACTGAGGTATACAAGATCTCAAGGCAGGACAAATGTGTCAGGAAGAAGTACATGGGTCTCCATAGCCGGTGCTCCAAGCCCACCACTAAGATGATGGCCAAGTTCTCTGCCAAGGTGAACAAGTACATGGTGAGGAACAGCAAGAAGAAGAAGAGACGTGCTTCATGCACCCCAGCAAAACCCACCATGACAAACTCTGTTACCTGGGTCCAGTTTAGGGTGTATGACTGCATGTGTGTGATGAGGGCTCAGTAGACTCATAGCCTCATAGACAATGAGAGCTCAAAGGGACACAGAAAGAATGTTGTGCTAAAACACTTTTCCCTTCAGAAGAGGAACGCAGAGCAAGACACTGGCCCTACCTTCAAAGAATTTATAATCTGTGAGATACACATTTCAGTGTAAAATGAAAAGTGCTGGATAGGAATAATAATGTCATGGGAGGAAATAGCAGAAAAGCTCCACTTGTCTTGAGATGTCTTCCCAGAGGAAGAGCTGTCTAAAGCTGGAACCTGAAAAAGAAGTATAACTTTATGAGATAAAAGGTAGAGAAGTAGAGAGGACATAGTAAATATAAAATCCCAGCTACCAGAGAGAATAATGTGCACTTGGGAAAATTTAAGTAGATACAGTTTACCCTAGAGGTTATGAGTTTGACTTCCACAGCAAGTATATTTTGCTTAAAATATAACAGAACCTAATTGATAGCTATTGTGAACTTTTAAATTAGATAATCCTGATAATGCACTTAGCATCACATTCTAATCAATAAGTATAAGAGGAAATTTTTATGTGTTGACTTCCCCAAGAATAGAGAAATGACTATAGAGCTTGAGGAGTTGACTTGGATATCATGAAAGGCTAATAAACAAGAGAACAGAGAGCCTCAAAAAGTTCTAAACAGGGAAGAAATGCTATGCTTTCTGTTCATCAAAAGGGGCAAGCCTTTGTTGTGGAATAGTGGATAAAGCGGCCGCCTGTGATGCTGGCATCACATACAGGCACTGGTTCATGTCCTGGCTGCTTTACCTCCAATCCAGCTCACTGCTAATGGCCTGGGAAAAGTGGCAGAAGATGGCCAAGTGTTTGGGCCCCTTCCACCTACATGGGAGACTTGGAAGAAGCTTCTAGCTCTTGGCTTCAGCCTAACTCAGTCCTTGCTGGTGCGACTATCTGGGGAGTGAGTTAACTAGCAGATGGAAGATCACTCTCTCTCTCTCTCTTTCTCTGTGTGTGTGTGCATGTGTTTGTGTGTATGTGTATCCCTCTTCCCCTGTAACTCTGACTTTACAAATAAATAAATATATCTTTAGAAAAAAACGGTAGAGGCGAGGGATGCTGGTTTGAAGGGGAATAAGACAGGAGACAGGAAGATCGGATTTGGAGGTTGTTGCAAGGATAGCAAGGAGTGATGGTGCCTTATCTAAGAAAATGACAGAAGGCATGAAGAGTAAACATGGTTACTAAGAGATGGAGCAACAGTACCATGTTCAAATCCAAGTGGCATTCAAATTCAAGACCAAGCATCAACTTAAAATATATGCCCAAAGACAAATCACTAAACAATACTGATTTTAATAGAAAACTTTCAAATGTCCAAAGAGATTATTTCCTGTCTTATTTTAAGATTAATGAGAACATATAGACTCTCAATTACTTTGTTGGCTCCTAATACAGCCCAAAATTCTTTGCTCCTTTTTCTATTGAAATAATGGGACCTGTGGCCACTGCCCTTGAATCTGGTCCCTGAAACTGCTTCACAGTAGAGTAAGATGGAAGTGATGCTGTGTTGATTTCCAGGCCCAGGCTTTAAGAAACTATCAGACTTCACTTCCTGTTTCTTGGACCACATCCACCATAGAGTGAGGAAGCCCAAACAGCCTGTGGAAAGACCCAGACAGAGAGGAACTCAGACCCTTGGCCAAGAGCCCACTAACAGCCAGCACCATCAGTTGAATCAGGAGAATGAGCTATCTGAGAAATAAAGCATCCAAACTTCCTGGTCAGGCTGGCAACGCTAATACCAGCCTTTCCTGCTGAGCCCTCCACAAGTTGCAAATTTGCAAGCTAAATAACTGATCATTGTTACTCTAAGTTTTGGAGGTAGTTGCTTAAGGAGTAACAGATAACTAAAACAATTACATATTGGCTCTGTAACCTTGGACAAATTTTTCATTGTTGCTGAGCCTTTGGAGGAAAAGAAATAGTATTTGGCCCACAATCACAAATGCCTGAACTGAAATTTGAATCCAGGTTTTCCAAGGTCTAAAGCCCTTGCTCTTTCCCTATAAAAAAATGTAAGCAAATTCCTCTGGGTTTAACATTGCATGATTTCCTGGCAGCAAGAGCATGTAGAAATACAAACTCAGAATTGAATAAGGTCAAAGCCTTCAGGTTGCTGTGTGTATTTTCAGCACATCGAAGTCCATGTTCCAATATTCCCACACTGGCTTCCTGGTCAGATAACTGCATTGCATCCCCCAACACTGCACATTTCTGTTGATTCTATGAAACTCCAGGACAGAATCCCTGCCCATTTCTCCTCTTTTTAATTTGGCTTACCAGGTAACAGACTCAGAACAGTGCTCATCCTTCCCAGACGCCCTTCCTAACAGAGAGAGAGAATGACACAGGTGCTGTAGAAGCCTGACGTGACTTGCTAGGTTATGGACAGGTCTCATAGTAGAGTTTTAAAATGGGGCCGGCACTGTGGCATGGCAGGTTAAGCCACTGCCTACAGCATAGGTGTCCCATGGTTTTAGTCCCAGCTGCTTCACATCTTATCCAGTTCCTTGCTAATGCACCTGGGAAAGCAGTGGAGGATGACCCAACTCCTTGGGCCCCTGCACTCATGTGGGAGAGCTGGAAGAAGCTTCTGGCTCCTGGCTTCAGACTGGCCCAACTCTAGCCATTATGGTCACTTGGGAAGTGAACCAGCAGATAGAAGTTCTCTCTCTCTCTCATTCTCTCTCTCAACTCCGGCTTTCAAATAAATACATAAAATCTTTTAAAAAACAAATAAAGTTCTCTGAAATGTTCAGTCTTTTTCATATTCATGGATAGTATAAAATTTAGAGTCAGATTTGAGGTCAGGCCCTGGCTCTGCAGTTTACCTGCTTGGTTTTCTCACCTACGAATCGTTCCCGTTATTTCTAAACCTTACCCGTCCTTCCAGTTGTGAGTCAAGTTTATGAATCCTAGCCTCACTCAGAAGACTTTTCTTCCCCTCATCCCTCCAAATTTGTGTGCAAATAAGGCCAACAAATGCACAAAGTACGAGCTCTATACCAGGAACCAGAATAGGTACTGAGGAACACTCTGGTACAGAGCAAGAACCTCCAGTAGCCAATAGGGGGCCTGGCCCAGAGCAGGTGTTGCTTTACAGAACTTTATGCTCTCTGGTCCACTTACAGAGGACACCAGAATCCATGGGAGATACAAGGAGGTCTTCAAACAGTTCCTGGGAAATGTGTATTATGAAAAATTGTGCATGGATTTCAGTTTTTTACACCAAAGTAAACTTCTAACCAATTTTCCACAAACTTCAATTCCCCCTAATATTAAGTCCATGTTAGTTACACTGAAGGAAGCTGGCTTTGTTATTGAAAAACTGAAGGAAGGGACAATAAGTAGGATATTTCAGGGGAAAGAGCTTGCAAAGCTTTATGTCTCCCCTGCCTGGGTGTGTAGTCACTGCTGGGAGAGAGCTCTCCAGCCAGGGGCTATATTTCTACCCTCTTACATCCAAGCATTGATGCACTTCATTTGTGAGCCGGGATTTTTAAGGAGTAGATGCACCTCCACAACTGTTCTCTCACTCACGGAGGCAAAAGATGGAAAGAGCCTGGATGCGTGAGTAAAATGACTCGTGTCCTCCTGGAGCCGAGATCATCAAGCATTTTGGGTTGAGGACCAGATGACAAGCAGTTAAAGCTTTGTGAGCCACAATCCCTGCCACATATTCCTCTGTGTAGGTGTTTACTCATTTGTTTTGTTTACTTGTTAGTTAAATTCGTTTTTTAGGGGGCCGGCACTGAGGTGTAGTAGGTGAAAGCCACCGCCTGTAGCGCCAGCATCCCATATGGGTGCCAGTTCATGTCCCAGCTGCTCCCCTTCCCATCCAGCTCTCTGCTGTGGCTTGGGAAAGCAGTAGAAGATGGCCCAAGTCCTTGGGCCCCTGAACCCACGTGGGAGACCCAGAAGAAGCTCCTGGATCCTGGCTTCGGATCAGCACAGCTCTGGCCCTTGTGGCCAATTGAGGAGTGAACCAGCGGATGAAAGACTCTCTCTCTCTCTCGCTCTCGCTCTCTCTCTGCCACCCCTTCTCTCTCTCTGTAACTCTGACTTTCAAATAAATAAATAAATCTTTTAAAAAAATATTTTTTAAAACTGTATTTTCATCATGGCTGTAATTTGCCTGTCTCTATCCTAGACTGACATTGCACTGTTACATGAACAAAAAAGTGCACCATCATACTGTGCGAAGCTAGAGTGACCCTGCTTGATGGACTCACAAACCACCCCTGCTACCAATAAGCACCCAAACTGCCCAAATAATTGATTGTCTCTTGTTCTACAGAGATTTGGGGAGGACAACTGATACCTCAAAAGACTACGCTGGACACATATGGATCATGGCACCCTTCCCAGAAGCCCAAGGTATCACTATTACTTCTCCTACCCGAATACCTAATTAGCAAAAATTTAGTGGGCCATTTCTGAAATTCCAAATCCAAAATCCAAAATCTAAACTAATGACTCTAGTAGCGCATCTGAGTCTCTACCAGTTCATTTTTCACTGCCTGCTACCCACTTGCATTCTTTGAGAAACTCAAGAGATAAATCCAAGTTGTCAAATGGACTGGATTGACATGTCTAAGTGATCATATTAAGTGTTAAAGTGATCACATAAATAGAATCCAGTGTCTTGTAATAATAATACATAGAATTTAAAGGGAGAGAATGTTCCAATATGGGAAGCAGTCCACACAGCAGACTCATAGAATGACAATCACTTTAAGTAACACTCTGACTTCAGAATCAGCCCTTAAGGCATTCTCATCTGGCTGAAAAGCCCATGAGAGCATTTCAGGCATGTAAAGCCTAGACATTGTGGCAAAAAATGTTCTATATGAGTGAAGGATCTCTGTGAATGAGACCCCAGCAGAAAGAAGTGGCCATCAAAGACAGATGCACTTTTCTTTAAAGAGAGGAGAGAACTTCCACTTTAAGATTCATTTCTTTATTTGAAATGCAGAGTTACAGAGAGACAGAGATGTTATATCCACTGGTTCACTCTCCAAATGGCTTCGAAAGCTGGGACTGAGCCAGGCCAAAGCTGGGAGCCCGGAAACTCCATCTGGATCTCCCATGTGGA